GGTTTGGGGTTTGGGTTTGGGTTTAGGGATTATGGTTACTGTAAGGGGCTCTTTAGGTGTAGTACAAGAGGAACCACGGCATTCCATGACCCCCCAGGCACCTAATATATAGGGCACTAGAGCCCCTAGGGCCCTATATAGCAGGTACTTGGAGGGTTAGGGATTGTAAGATAATTTCAGGGGTGCGGGATGCTGCCCAAGGCCTTCTGAGGTTGGCTGAGGGGCCTTTGGTGCCTGGGATGTCTACGTTGATTAAAGCAAACTACAGGTGGGGAGTTTGGGGTATATAGGGCTTCTGTAAGGCTCTCATAAGGTATATAGACCTTCTATCAGGCTCCTATAACGGTAACTACCCACCTGAAAATATGCTAGATTTGAGTTGTAACCAGCGTTCACTTACACACATTCTCGTTTCTGGCTTCTCCCGGACGGTGCAGACCCGGCCCTAAACCCTAACATGTGGAGCGAAAGACCGATGCTCCCCCTAAAAGACAAAAACGCGGCAACAAACACCTGAACCCAACATTTCTAAACTCTTCCCGCCCCGATGCCCGATACTCTCAGCTCCATGCAGCTCAGGTACGAGGTCGCCTCGACTCCCCACAAGGCCAGCAGTGCTTGTTTAAGTCTCTTGGGCGCCGGGTTCAGGTCAGGGTTTCAGAAAGCACAGTTCCCATATTACTATTCTTTGTCTTTCTCTATTAGATATATACACATACGAACATATATGTCAGGCACGCAAAAACGGAGTATTTGTAAGAAAGACCCCTAAGAACCCCAAGCCCCCAAACAGTGAGGCTGGGTCACTCTCTTCGATGGCTCCACGGGCCTGCGTCACGCTGTCAAGTCGAGGCTTGTCCTGAAGACGCTTGAATGTAATGCAATATAGGGGCTTAAATCATTACCAATACTATTGTGAGGGTTCCTTACCAATACTATTGTGAGGGTTCCTTATAAAAGTTATACTATATAGTATACCCCCCCAAAAACTCGATTCTAATTAATTATTAAGGCCCCGATATTATAAGCATAACTAGCAGCCCGTATTAGCCGTCAACACAGTTGAGTTCAAGCGTTATAGGTGTTTCTAGATCTTGGGGCCTTCAATTCGAACATTGTTACAAAGGAGGGCTCTATGGTAATTGTTCAGCTCGTATATTAACGAGAAGGACGTGCTCAGCATCGTCGTAAGTTTTACTACTGGTGGTGGTAATGACCAAGACTGACAGCAATAGTCACAGTGCGCCCGATTGACAGATCCTAAACCCTAAACCCTAAACCCTAAACCCAAACCCTAAACCCAAGCCCTAAACCCGAAACCCTAAACCCTAAACCTTAAACCCCGATTGACAGCTTGCCTATCAATGTCCAGGGGATGCCAAATCAGGGGCGAGTGCAATGTACACCGACTCTGCTGCCCGATTTAGAGTCTAGGGGAAAGAGATGGTTTAGGATTTAAGGTTTAGGGCTTTAGGGGTTTAGGGTCTAGGGGTTTAGGGGTCTAGTGGTTTAGGATTTAAGGTTTAGGGCTTTAGGGGTTTAGGGTCTAGGGGTTTAGGGGTTTAGTGGTTTAGGAGTTTAGAGTTTAGGATCATTTTGTTGCATTTCTGCATGTTGAATTGCACAAAATTCGGTCACGACCTTTCGACCTGGCGAGCACGTATTTCTGTCTGAAAATGAGATTAGAGTTTAGGGTTTAGGGTTTAGGAGGATCAGGAAGGTGGCAATATTCCCTCATACGTAGTCCCTATGTACAAGTAGATCAAAACCCTATTCCAACTAGCGAGGCCCCTATAAGGCCTATAGAATGTGGTGGTCTGAGTGTATCCCTTTGTGGTCCCTCTGTTCTGTTCTAGTGGTCCCAACACTCTGTTCTACTTACTGAGACCCTTTTGGTATGCCAACCCTCGATCTGGTGTGCTTCCCTGACCCTAAACCCTAAACCTTAAACCCTAAACCCCTAAACCCCTAAACCCCTAAACCCTAAGCCCCTTAACCCTTAACCCTGGCCCCGCTTCCCTGCAGGAAACCTCCTGCGCTGTCCTCAGGGCGAAGGATTTTGGAGGGTCTTCTGAAAGCGCCGTTGACAGCTTACTTCAGGGAGGCTTTCCGAGCTTCTGTTTGCACACCTGCCCGTGCAGGACGGTGCAGTGCTATGCCATAGTTAGTAGCTTCCCCGAAACTCCCCAGGTACCTACTATATGGGGTACTAGAGCCCTTAGGGCCCATATAGGGCCCTAGAAAGTAGGTACGCGCGTTTTGTTCAAGACTGTTTGTGTGTCTCATGCTCTCGACGAGCCCTCCCAGGCACGTGCGGAGCGGAACGCATGCAGCGTTTGGGGACGATAGGTGCCGAGCTCAGTCCGTCGCTCTCATGGAACAGTTATTTTAGAAACCCAAAAAGGACATAAGCGTTTGCTGTCACATGAACTTGTTCAAGGGTACTGCACCGATATTTGTATTATTATTATTTGTATTATTATTATTTGTATTTGTTGTTGTTGTTGTTGTTGTTGTTGTTGTTGTTGTTGTTGTTGTTGTTGTTGTTGTTTTTGTTCCTTTTGATGTCATTGTTTTGCTTGTTGTTGGTGTTGTGGTTGTTGCTGTCGTCGTC